ACACTAACCTCCAGCTACTTGGATGGTCGAGCTACAACGAGGTTGTATCCAATTTGGATGGCTATTTCTGCCTTAGGGTGTATCCAATTTCGCATTCTTCGTATAACCAAAATCATGAAAAAAAACATAACAATGCACTTTCGAGGATCCAGAGCTACAAAAGTTTCCTATCTTAAAGGAAATGATCTATCTAGATCATCCTCAGGTTCCAGGAACACTTAGACAACTTGAGAGTCGACGAATCTGTGATCTTACAACGCACATGAGTTTTGCCATTGTAAATTCTGACAGACGAATCACCATACTCTGGTAGAATTGTCGATCTCCTGTTGAGTGCTGCATTTGTCTTCTTCATCAGGAATGCATCAACGAATGGATCTTTCCATACAGATCGGATCACCACCTTCTTGTTGCCTTTCGTCTCATCTTCTTCTACACCCTCATCCAAAGACAATGGCAGCCATTCTTTTGCAGCGTTCACACGGATGTTAAACCCATTCAACTCCTAATCAATCACACCCCCAGAACCAACAAAATACAAGACACGAATTTCATAAATACACAGATCGATGATCCTTTACTAAACTAACCTGTCCATCCATAGATGAAATAGCAGATTTGGGAGAATCCTCAAACTGATATACAAATACAAGACAAGGAAAATGTACAGTACCACAACTGCAATAGTATTAAAATGACACCATCTGATTAGAAATTATACTTACCACCAATGAAAAGTTTTGTCGACGACATGTAGTGGAGCATTGATGTGACTGGAACATTTCTGTTTAGTAGTTTCAAGTATTTGTTCCTAAAAGCCATTTTACATGCTAGAAATGATAAACCACAAAACCCCTTTTAAAGCTAAGAAATTCAAAGCAGTTTCAAGATTATTATACTCAAAAAACCTTTATTAACAAAGTCATCTCGACTAAGACCTAGAAGAATCCAAAACCTAAAACAAAAATTATCAAGAAACCCGATGAAGAAGACCTGGAAATCGATTTTGCAGAGAACAACAACAAAATCTTCCGTTCGTTTAAGGGCTTTTCGATCTGAGAGCACGGTTTAAGCACGTATAGTATTTTGAATGATCTTAATCGACTTACAATAACCCATATCGACCTGGAAATCTATTAGTATTTCGATCTGTCAAAATACTATACGTTCTTACAATTTCCATCATGACATATAGTATCAATTAAAATGATTTGATTAGTTAATTTCAATGATATGTCTCTTAGATCCCGCATAAGATTTTCTCTTAGTGTCTACTCTATTAATATATAAAGGATTTTCCATATAACATAGCTCACCAATAAATATCTTATAAAAAATTCANNNNAANANNNTATTTTAAATGAAAATGTTACTCAACATAATATTTTAAAGATTCATCATTTTTCATTGATGCTATATTAAATTCAGTTAATAAAAATTAGATTAGTGCTCATTTATATATCATAGAAATAAAAAATTTAAAAACTATATTAATGTGCATTATATCATAGAAATTAAATTCTTTTTACAAAAATTATATTAATCTCCAAGGAATTATTACATGTAA